AGATAGCAAATGCATTTACTATTTAGCAAGCAGTCAAAGAACGACCTTCCCTTCTACTCTAAGCTAGGAATGATATATCAGATACTGAGAACTGGAGGTCATTAGAAATCATGGGCTATCATAAGAACTTTCTGTACTGAATTTTGTCCACCAAACCTAGTAGAGAGAAAATAGGGCTTGGGCACTTCTCACACCTGTGTTCAAATCCTGGTTCCCTCACTTGACAGCTGAGAGACACTGGGCAAGATGCTTAGCCTCCCTATGTTTCGTTTTGCTCATCTGAAATATGAAGAACAGAATAGTACCTTAATCCATTAAGGTTATGGGGAGGATTAAATGAGACCATGTCTGGTATCTAATAGCTCATATTTATTGAGTTCTTCCTGGCAAAAAAACACCTTGGTGGGGACAGAATTAGTTGCCCCTCTCTCATCTGAAAACAGCCCATTAAGGGAACAGCATAAGAGCTCGGATAAGTGACTCAGAATGGTGGAGGGGGATGATGAGAGATGAGGAAGAGTGTTTTACTCAGCCTTCATGCATTAAACTATATTGCCCTTTCCCCATTGTGTAAAAGAGACTACAGCATGCTTGCCCAAGTTTTTTCAGAGAGCCAGAGTCCATTTTTAAATTACCTTAAGAACGGCCTTGCTGCAAAATCAAGCATCTCTGAAGAGGCCAGTCCAGTGGAATCAAAGCAGCAGTGGGCACCGGAGCCTTGGCGGCCAGACCAGTGTATTGGGGGTGTGTCTGTGACCCAGGAGAAGCAAGCTTCACACAAGTACAATTAGTGTGTCTTCTTAACTTTCCTTCTAAAGTTATTCAAGGGGACTGTGGTTTTGCCTTGAGCAAAACCCCCTTAACAGCCGGGAATCTAAAAGCAAACAACATTATTTTATTAGGTTACCCCAGTAGATGAAAGCAGAGTGTTCCATTTGGGTCCTTTTTGGAGTCAATTAATGCATTTCCTAAAAAACAAACCCTTCTGAGAGTTCCCGTTGTCCTCAGCAGCTTCTAAAGGGAAGCTTGTCACTGTGCTCTGAGGGGCACGTCAACATCAGGAGGCAAGATGAGCAGAGAGAATGAGCTGTAAATAATCCGTTCATTGATAAGGAAAACTATTTTAATGATACTTCTCAAACCTAACGTAACACTAATCTCAGAGGGTATGATTTTTTAAAAACTTTAATAATGACCAGGAAATGTAAATATCTTTAGTTTATATGATAGTTTCTCGTTCAAAGTTACCAATGAATTTTTAATAGCTGTATTTGCTTTAATAAAAGATGTATTTATAACTTCTAAAATAAGTGATCAATAAATAAGACTGTGACTCTCCAGAACTGCAACTATGGTCTTAACTCTAGCAACATAAAAAGTCATATAAAGTAGGAAAATAATGGGGATTACTTACTGGAAAAAAAAAATTTCTCAGAATTCATATATCCATTCATTCATCCATTTTCCATTCACCCATCCATCCTTCAAAAAAATAACCCTGGGCCTATTAAGTTCCAGGCACTGAGGCACTAGAATCAAAGACACAGTCCCTACCTTCAAGGAGCCTGGTCTAGATTTTTAACCGAAGGCTGCCCCTAACAGAACTGACAAGGGTTTTAGAGACCTCAGACTTTAAAATGAAGCAGTGAACTCCCTGTGGTCTTTGTAACACTGAAGGTAGAACTCTCTACAGAGGATTGTGTTATTCCCAAAAGCTAAAATGAGAGGCACACCTCCTTTGTGGGAAGAACCATTTGTGGAGAGAACATTTCACTGTCCTGACAAGGGAATGTGTCTTTCAAAAATCTTTGGAAAAATCCACATCCTGAAAGCATTTGATTACCCTGAATTTAAAATGGGATTTTGTTCAGTGGCAAGAATACAAATACAAGTATAGCTTCTGTGGTAAAAGGCTCAAGATAACTTTTAGGGGGAGTTTATCTAGAAGGGTGGTAAACGGGGCCATAAGACAGGATTCATGAAATTCCATCATTGAAGATCTTCCTCCTTCTACCTGAAGAATTCCAATGTGACTTGCTGGTTACCTAGCTGGAGTAGGCTTCAAACAGTTTCAAGCACAATTTGTTCCCATTTTTATTCCCCGCTCAGAGCTATGTGCTGTTAAATATTTCCAGAAGACTGTCAAAATGTAAGCATCCTGAGGTTTACATAGGCCACACCATTAAATAACATATAAGCACAAAATTTTAAACATTGTTTTCCAGCAATGGTAAATATTTTAGTTAAGTAAAAACTGAAGCTTGAAATGCAATAAGCATTTAAATGACTCCTTTCTGTGCCAGGATTCTTATTTTCCCCTGTGCAACCCTGGCTGCTGGGATTAAGGCGACCCCAGGGAGCTCCACAAATGGTTGTGGGTTATGAGGTGTAGCATGAGCTTGGCGACAGCGTGCCACCCAGCCTCAAGAAACTCAGCCATGACTGGAACCCAAGAATCAGTGTGTTCACTTTGTGGTCAGCTTCACATATTTTCCCCTCCCTGAAAAAAAGCTGCTACTAAAGTCAGGTCTTCCCCCCTCCCCGCCCCTCAGGCATCCCGAGGTGGACCAAGGGCAAAGCTGAGACACCCGGGCTGGCAGAGCAGGGGGAGGCTGGTCCTCTTGGGTGGGCAGGCAAGCTGGTGGGGATTACCCATCTTGCTGTTCCTCAGCGTTAAGGAGGGAAATGGCTGACTGCAGGAATAGCAGCCACATCACTGACGACATATTGTGCTGTCACTTCAGGACAAAGAAAAACCCAGAACAAATTTTACGTGGTTTTCACCATGCAGTGATTGCAGTCCTATTCGAGGGATGTCACAGTCCTGCCACCCACTGAGCAGAACTCAGATGGAAATTAGACCTCTTTCAAAGTGTCTCAAGTCACTGCCTATCCCTGAACAGAGTAAGCCAAGGATTTTAAAGAAATACAGACATGTGACCCTTACTTCATTGGCTTCCTGGAGTCTCTGCTTTCTTAAGTACTTAAGAGAATCGCCCCCAGCTATGTGTAAGTCCAAGTGAAGCCAAGACACTCTTCCATCAAATACAACAGCTCTTAGAGAAGCAGCCAGGGCAATGCACCACTTATGAGATTTGGGTCAATGTTTTTTACTATGGAAAGTTGATCTTCTATAAAGTTTCAAGCACGTGAAGAAAAGGAATGCAGAGATATACAACTCAGAGACTTTTCTCCACATTCAAAGACCAAAGCTGGACTGCTCTGTTATTATAAGAACATCTACATTTCTAAGACATATTTAGAGCATTACGACCAGGGACGAATGACCCAGTAAGCAAGGTAAGCATGGGCTTACTACAGATTAGTAAGTAAGCACAAGTAAGCCTGTGCTTACCTGGCTTACTGGGTCATCCACCTGTCAGGGGCTGTAAATTTAAAAAGAGGCTTTGATTCTGTAGGAAGGTGCTGTGGGGTTGGGAGATAGACACCAGCCTAGAAGTAGAATCTTTAATGTGGTGAAAAAATGAAATTGTTCACTACAGATGATCAGGTAAGCAAGGGAAGCACCATGTTTACCTTCCTTTTGGATAACCTGCCCCTGTGACTCTGGTCTTTGAGAGGAAAATAGAGGTATTTGTAGTTAGAGGCTTCTGTCACTTAACACACTGAATGGAAATGGTCTTCCTCTTTGGTTCTGCCAAACAGACATGAAAGAAACCATGCATATATTCGTCCTATTCTGCTGAAGATAACAAAGGTTTTGTTCAGGTTAAAAAAAAAAAAATCAGATTTGTGGATGGCGTTGACTCTTTCCTATTCCAAACTGTTAACTTTCAATGTTATAGAACAACACAGACTATCTTCTCAATAGCTGTCTCCTTTGGAGGGAATTTTGGTGACACAGAATGTTCATTCATGTTGTTTTTGTTGGGTGCCATCGAGTCCGTTCCAACTCATAGCAACTCCATGTACAACAGAATGAAATACTACCCAGTCCTGTGCCATCCTCACAATTGTTGCTATGTTTGAGCCCATTGTTGTAGTCACTGTGTAATGGATGTTTGCAGCTATTTCTTCTCATTGTGAGTTGTGCCACATCAGCAAATGAAGGTCCTGGAACCTTTACTCCATCCATGTCATTAAGGTTGACTCTACTTTGAGGAGGCAGCTTTTCCTCAGTCATACTTTGAATGCCTTCCAACCTGAGGAGCTCATCTTCTGGCACTATATCAGACAGTGTTCTGCTGCTATTCATAAGCTTTTCACTGGCCAATTTTTTCAGAAAAAGACCGCCAGGTCCTTCTTCCTAGTCTGTCTTAGTGTGGAAGCTCTGCTGAAACCTGTCCACCAAAGGTGACCTTGCTGGTACTTGAAATACCAGTGGCATAGCTTCCAGCATCACAGCAACACGCAAGCCACAACAGTACAACGAACTGAGAGACGCAGTGTTCATTCCTACTGACGACCAATAGATTGATGAGTAGCCTCTTCAGGAGTATAACTGTAGTCTAAGAAGAAGAGTCCTAAATGCTGTTCAAGACTAGCTTATTTCTCCAAATAATTATACCTGTTGCTGTCTAGTTGATTCCAACTCATAGTGACCCTATAGGACAGGGCAGAACTGCCCCGAAGGGTTTCCAAGAGCGGCTGGTGGATTTGAACTGCTGACCTTTCAGTTAGCAGCGGAGCTCTTAACTTACAGTGCTGACCAAATATTAGCTTATGTCAGATTACTATGGTATATGGTTTTGGTGTGAGCAAGAGTCAGAGAAGGTGAGAAAATATTTACACTGCTACTTCATACCCGTTTTCATGCCCAACTTCCAATGACTTTTTATATTACTTTAGGTAAATGTAGTTTCTCTTACTCTGAACCATGGTATATTGAAAATGAAGGTACACACTACCTTGAAACATCATGAGCATATATCCATGCAAGTGTGAATAACATCCACTCAAGACAAAACATGTAGTTCAATAATGACAATTACTGTAGTCATTCACCACATGACATGCACAATAGCTAACAATTTAATGGTTTTAAAAACAGTTTATTTCCACCTTCACAAACACATGGGCCTCTGAACATTATGCAAGGCCCCAGAAATTAAATAAAAACTTACATTAGAATATATGTCTTGTATGATGCAAGATAAAGTGGATTTTAATGGCAATGGGTACCGATTATGGGGAGAGGGATTAGGGCAAGTACCTGCAACAGGGAACAGACATTTCTTCTACAGTGCCTACTGAAACAGGCAGTAATCAACATATGTGCATCATATGGACAGTTACCTAAATTTAGCACATCCAGGAGAAGTGCTGCATTCAATACTTTCTAAGTCTATATAATAAAATGCCGAAAGTACTTCCCTAAAGCACAAAGGCTTTTCCCTAGTAGTCTTGGCACCAGTAACAGAATATGATTACTAAACATCTTCAATGTGGTTTTCATTACAAAAAAACATGTTTCACATAAAAGCTTCATAATATAATCCAGAGACAGAATTTGTGCATGTTTAAGATTTGAAGCCAGGCTGGCTATTTCTGATAGTTTTTTCATTTCTTCCAGTGTTTTTTACTTTTATAAATATGCACTCAGCTTACTACCAGTTTAAACACACAAGAAGCACTTTGCTCTGAGCACCATGATTGCTTTTCAGTAGCCTCTCTGGGATTCCAATCTCAGTCCAAGGAGTACAGCCCTAATTTCTATTCCAATTTGCTCCTTTCCCCAAATCAGGCAGTGTTGACCAAATTCTAATACATGTCAGATATAAGGCTGAGGCCCAAAGGATAATTATTAATAATTTCATAATGATCTGGTTAAGAAAACACAGAAAATGCATGATTTCACTTTATAAAAAGCCTCAACTAGAATTTAAACCAGAGATGGAAGTGAAAGGGATGAGATGTTGCTAAATCAGAGGTGAGGTGTTCTTTACTGTTATAACAACAATGCTACGGCAACATCCTGCCGCTGGTCCTTCTACGGGCCTCCACTGATAGCTGTTGAGGTAGATGCTGATGGCTTGAAGAGTGGTAAGTAAAGTCCAAATTTGTTTTCAATCCCTGCAAAAGTTGCCACCGCCAATTTGTAGCCCCCAACATGATCAGGATTGGGAGCAGGCAGTGTGATCCTGGATTTAGGAACTGGCTCCGATCCCATGGGTTTTCTAAAGGAAGAGAAAATAGAGTGAGAATCTCAGTTTTATTTTTGTTTTCTTGTATTATTTTTTTTTAACTTGGTAAAAACAACTTTCCAAAACTGTTAAACAAAACAAAGGCATTGTTCAATTCTAGTGACTTGTACATTTTTCTTTGAAATAATCTTATTAACACGATTGCAATGTTTTCATAAATCTTTTCTGTTTTAACATAGGCTGATGCACCTTTCTCAATCACAACGGAGCAGCAGAAATTCAGATTTAGCATGATACTTACACTCCTCCAAAATCAATGTAGAACCATCGCTGTAACAATTCATAAGTCAGCAAAGTTACACCAAACTGGGGTGAGGATCGAAATACTCGAGCTTTGGAAAAAAAGGGGAAATAACAAATATAATTAGATTTCTAAAAAATTTATCTGATACCAAATGGTTAGTTAAAAACAAATTATTTCCATACCACCAGCTCCTTTCCACAAAGCTTTTGGGCCTTCTTCCCTCAATATCTTTCTAAAGCAGTCTATAACTCCGCTGTAAGTGGTTTGGCCAGCCCGGGCAGCCACCTGTAATCTTGTCTTGATAACATCAGCAGGGGTCACTAAAGATGCCGCAGGCATACCTACAGGAAAGACACAGTACCGTCTCAGTCTGGTCACATTCTCACTATATAAAAATAACTGTGCTTTCAACTGCTGGTCGTGGAAAGAAAGTTAAGAATCAAATGAAATAAAATGGCTATTTCACTGTTCTGTATGGGACACACAGTCACGAATATCTTGCCTGCAGTGACAAGCACTCCTGCACGCTTACACACACTCACCACCAATCCTTTCCCCAATCACTTAACCTTCATTTGTTATGCTTATATCTTTAAAGAGTTTTAAGAACTTATTTTATCAATGCCATCACTGCAGAAGGGGCCCTGGTGGCACACTGGAAGGTTAGCAGTTTGAACCTACACAGCAGCACCAAGGGAGAAAGGCCTGGCAATCTGTTCCCGTAAAGATTACAGCCTAGAAAACCCCGTGAGGCAGTAAAACTCTGTCACATGGGGTTGCTATGAGCAGGAATTGACTTGATGGCACCTAACAACAACATGACTGCAAGTAGTTGAGAATAAATGGAGTTTTTTTTTTTCCGTGCTGAAATCAGAAACTCACAAAGTTCAATATTTTAGAGGTGATGCTTGTTATGCATTTCCTCTTCATGCCTTTCTGTGGCTGCTGGCAGTCACAGGGAGAGCCTTCTCTCACACACTCAGCTACCACCTCCCCACAAATAAAAAAACAACAAAAACCCCATACCTCTCCAGCTCCGCCAGAAAAAGACTTAACTGATAGCTGAACAAACAGTGTGTGTGACTGTGTGTAGCAGGGGTAACGAGAGGGGAGATGCAGACTCCCACAGATAAAACACTTTAGCAGTCTTTTTTCCTAAGACTGACATCTCCAGAAAAAATATTTGACAGAAAACTTAAAGTTTATACTGGCTAATAATCAATGAAAAAGAAACAAGAAGAAGAAGAAAATCCTCCCAAAATTACCAATGGGAAATTTTTCTACAGTCATTTAATCCAAAATGGGGCAGCCCATGTTTAGATTTTTTAAAAGCGAGACTGTACTCAGAAGACACTGTCTCTTATGGTTTTATTACTTTTCCATTATGAATCTATTCCAAACCAAATTGGTCAAATGCAGATGCATAAATCTCCTTTGCTTTTTTTAAGGCTTAATAATTCTGTAAGAATTTCTGTCCAAACCAACATGGTCTGGCTAGCAACTACATCTCATCCTTCTAACAGACAGCTTTCAAGCTATAGGCAGTGTGTGTGTGTGTGTGTGTGTGTGTGTGTGTGTGTGTGTGTGTGTGAGCAAATTTGCATACTACATGCTTGCATTTATATTACTAAAGTAGTATCTCTTCCTTTTCCATTTTTACCTAGCTCCTCAAACTAATCTTAAGTAACAGCTTTTATAAAATGTATCACAATTTTACATGTGAAAAGCTCGCTTTATTTCCAACACTTCCCTGAGTAAGTCATACTGAATTTCCTATTAGCTTGGAGGAATTATTTTAACTTGGAGCCAGGAATTTATCCTCCAACATAATGGAAGGAAACAGGAAAAATGCTTAGAAACCCACTGTGTTCACACTACCAATATTGTTTTACTTCCTAGTTTAGAAAGAGTTTATTAGCAAGCCAGTCTGTTTTACACAGGCAATAAAATCTTCCTTACAACAGTGGGCAGGCATGTCAGACTGGGACTGAGAAAGAAATACAAGGAATGAAATGCGTAAAAGAGTTTCCTTTAGTAAGGGTGGTTTTCATAAACATTTCCTTATTATGAAAAAAGAGAGAAGACAAAATATAGGGCGGGTGATGAGGAGAGGGGAAAGATACTAATTAGATTAGAGGACTAAAAATGCCAGAAGGAAATGTGTAAAAGACAGTTTGTAAGCTGTCTGGCAAAACCAATCAGTCTTCTGGGCGATGCTGGCAATATGGTGACCTGAACATGTCTCTCATCATCTCCATTCCCAGCTCTCATCTCTCCTAAGTTGACATTTGCTAAAGCCTGGGAGGAACTGGGTATCTCAGAGGAAGAAGGAGATTTCAGTGTGGAGATTGCTAAATTAACCTGGAGAACAGCATCAGGCTGCTCCAGAGCAAGGATGGTAAGGAAGCAGATACTGGAAAGAGCTTGTTCACCAGAAATGTGCTGATTTTCTGGGGCAGAAATGGCAGAGATTCCCAGCGAGTTTGCCTGGTCACTTTCGTCTTCTAAAGCTGATCAAGTGGTCTGAGTTTTCTCTATTTCTAAAAGCAGGAGGAAGTCCCTGGGTGATGCAAACTGTAAACACACTCGGATGCTAACTGAAAGGTTAGAGGTTCAAGTCTACCCAGAGGAGCCTCAGAAGAAAGGTCTGGCAACACGCTTTTGAAAAATTAGCCATTGAAAACCCAATGGATTAACCTGTACTGAAGCCACTCCCAGAGGTCACCTTTCAGCCAAATAATGGATTGGCCTATAAAATAAACAATAACATCCCAGAGGAATGTGTTCCTTCAAACAATCAACCCTACTAGACCAAACTGTCAACATTTACCCAAAAGCAAACATGAGAAGGCAAGGAGGGGCAGAGAAACTGGATGGATGGAAAGGGGGCAGGCAGGGTGGAAGTGGTGAGAGTGCTGACACATTTTGGGCACTGTAACCAACGTCATGGAACGATCTGTGTAAATTGTTGAGTGGGAATCTAATTTGCTGTGTAAACTTTCACCTAAAACACAATAAAATATTCAAAAAAAAAAAAAGGAAAAGAAAACCCTGTGGAGCATAGTTCTCTCTGACACACATGGGGTTGCCATGAGTCAGGGTTGACTCCATGGCAACTGGAAAATTAAATGTGCTGGAGACATAGAAGACATTGTGAACAAAACGTGATACTTTCTCATTCCCAATAAGAAACTTTATCAAGCTTCTCTTAGAAGCTGACAGATCAAGTAGATAATATAGATAAGGATCAAAGGGAATTTGAAAAACTCTTAACCTTGATCCAAAAATTATATAAATATATTAATCTTTGCATCCAATAAGTAGAGGAGCACATTCTTTACGAATACTAATGGAATAGTAATGAAAATTGAGGATGAGTCATACCTGGAAGGTGTATTTTGTGAGTCTTGTTTCCTTTTTGTTGTTGTTGAGTGTCTGGTGGTTCCAGGTGTTCCTTGTCTTGCTAAGTTAAGCCTGTCTTACTAAATTAACCTAAACAAGTTGCCAGAGAGTGGATTCCAACTCATGACCACCCCATGTGTGTCAGAGTAGAACTGTGCTCCACAGTTTTTAGTTTTCAATATTTTATTGTATTTTTGGTGAAAGTGTACACAGAAAAACAGGTTCCCATTCAACAACTTCTGCACATACTGTTCAGTGACATCAGTTACATTCTTCACACAGTGTCAACATTCTAATTATTTTCATTCTAGTTGTTCTGTCCCTCAACCTTTTCATCTATGTTTTAGAGTAACTGTTGACCATTTGGTCTCCAACAGATGATGTTTTAAAGGCACGCAGTACTCACAGGTGATATTCTTTACTTTATGAGCTATATATGGTTTAAGAGATCAATTTAAATAAAGTGCATAAAAATAGTCTTGAGACACTTTTGCCAAATAATAAATAGGGTCGTGGCTAACTATTATTCATTATAGCATTTTTGAAATAACGCTTTTCTCCCTTCTCTTAATGACAACAAAGATCACTGCTGTCCTGGGATATATTTCCTAGAATTCTCCACATATTCTATCAGTGTCCTCTCCCTAGGAATTGCCTTGGCTCTCACTGATATCCACAACAAGAAAGTGGGGGCCTGATTCATCTTCTATCTAACAGCCATCTATCCAACAGCCAATGCAGGTTTGGTGCCTTCTTTTGCTCACTGCCCTTTCTTGACGGTGTCACACTGGGCACACTTCTGAACAGAAGTCTTCTTGCTTTTTCAACAGGCCACCTTGACTTCAGTTCTCTGGTTGAGCATGCCAGGAAGGTTCTATACTCAGCAGCTAGTTGAACTCCTTCCTCAAATTACCGTCAGTTAACTGCTTCTCACTAGATACGGACTTTTGTTTATTATAAGACATCCTTGCGTTATGCCTAACTTTAATGAAAATGGTAGTTATGACACTTGCTGCTGGCTTCTGATATTGTTATTAAATTAAGAAAGTAGCTTAGTTCTCATTATATAGTCTATCCATGTATATTGGGGAACATACAAGGCCATCAACTTTCGTGGCTGATCTACTCCTTGAAGATAAAAACAGTATAACACGCTGTGACTTACATTTTCCTACTCAACAGGAAAGGAGAAAACTCGGGAGAAGACAAACAATAAAATGAAAGTAAATGATCTCTAGTTAAGTGCAGTAGCCAGCTTCCAAGTCAGCCCTCAATAATCTTTGGAAACCTCTTGATATTCCTGTCCCTGTGTAGACCTCTTTCACATTAAATAGGGCTTATCTATATAACCAATAGGATAGTGGGGAAATGAAGGAGTGTGACTTCTGAGGCTAGGTCATAAAAGACATGTGGCTTCTGTCTTGCTTTCTCCCTCTTTGATCTTGCTCTGGGGGAAGCCAACTGCCTTGTCATGAGGACACTCAGCAAGGCCCGTGGAGAGGCCCACATGGCAAGGAACTGAGGCCTCCACCAACATCCACTGGATTGAGCCACCTTGAAAGCAGATCCTCCAATCCCTGGCAAGCCGTGTAGAGCTCTGGCTGACATCTTTGTATCCTCAGGAGAGACCCGGAGCCAGAATTACTCAGTTAAGTTACTCCTGACCCACAAATATTGCATGACCCACAGACAGTGTGAGATAACAATGTTTTTAAGTTGGTAAGTTTTGAAGTAATCTGTTATGCAGTAATGGATAACTAACATAGAAGGTACATGGAAAACAACTCTGAAAGGCAGTGTTGTTGTTGTTGTTGTTAGGTGCTGTCGAGTCAGTTCCAACTCACAGTGACCCTATGTATAACAGAATGAAACACTGCCCACTCCTGCACCATTCTCACAATTATTGCTACGTTTGAGCTCATTGTTGCAGATGCTGTGT